AGAATGTACTCCAGGCCGTCAACAGCGGAGAGCGCACGAGGTACACCGAGCGACAGGGCAGCACCGCACCCGACACCACCCTTTCGAAGGACTGTGTCGTCACCCATTGCCAGAACTGCTCTCACTGGACAGCGATCACTGTCTCATCCTCCTTGTTTTCCGATCGGGGACGACGACATACCCGCCGTGGTGCTGGGGCCTAACCGGAAATTATTAGCATGGAAGAAGGCGGATTGGAATAAGCCCTGCGAAGTATTCAGCCAGCTCCGCAGAAACACATGAGAATTACCCAAAATGGACAGCACGGAGAGGTGCGTTGTACTAGAAATGCGGACAGCCACCAAGGCAACGGTCCCGGCATGGAATCACCAGCCGTCCCCATTCTGGAACCCATGGCTGGCGAAATTTTACCGCGCCATTGTCACCGCATCTGACGCAGAAGGCAGTCAGTGGCTGGACCTCCGTCGCAGAGAAGCGCTGCGCGAGGCATCCAAAAGCCGCTGGCGCACGCTTCGCTCCATACCCGAGTTCACCGACGACAACAGCCGGCAGGTAGTACGCCCGTGTGTACGCCCCTCGTTCCTTGAGCATTCCAGCCATGAAATCCGATGGCCCAATGCTCAGCAGACACCCGAAGGCCAGCCACCTCATGAAGCTGTAGGCGGCGAAAGCAACACGGCGCCCAAAGCCCCACCCTCCGCCACCGATCCCGACGAATGCGATGGACCTCACCCAATAAGTATGGCAGAGCCCGGCCGCACCCTACGGCTGTTGCTCTTGGGACCGGCGCCTGGCCCCGACGGGATACATGGAAAGGCGCTGCGCCATCTAGGCCGTGTGGCGAGGCGTGCCGTCCCCTGGCTGTTCGATAGCCGCCTATGTGCAGGGGCCGTCCCGCGGAATCGGCGACGTGTGGCTGTGCTACTCCTGCCCAATCCGGAGAGAACGGCATCCAACCGCGAGTCCCACCGACCTGTAACGATGAGCAGCTGCCTCAGCAAGCTCATGGAACGCGCTCCCGCCGCACGCATCCGAAACGTCATCGAGTCCCAGTCGACTCTGCAGCCATCTTGCTTTTTGCCGGGCAATTCCACCCCCGACCGATTGCTGCACCTCAGCGCTGCCATGCACCGCAACACCGCACGGCGGCTGTCTTTGTGGACCACGCCAATGCCTTTGGCACGGTGGGCCCTGACGCGGTAATCTTGGAAATGCGGCGACTGTCGATTCCAAATCGCATTGTACGCTGGTCAGCAGCGTGCCTCAATAACACAAGCGCTGTGGTTTGCATCGACAAACTCACACCCTCCTCCAGGACCCTCACACGAGGCGCACCGCAGGGAACAGTGCCGTCACCCATCATTTTCGTCTTCGTCATGCAGTCCCGTTGTTCTTGTCCTTCGAACGTGCCCTACTTCGCCGAGGATTCGTCGCTGACGTCCTCACCACCATCGCACAGCAGAGCGACAGGGATGCGATCAACTCGGCCTCAAAAAAAGGCCTGAGTGCCGTTGCAGAGTGGAACAGAGAATACTTCATGGAGGCAACCCCCAGCAGGGCGAGGTACACTCTCCTCGGCACCGGCAACACGGCCCCACTGTGCCTCGCTTATGAGGACGCCCCGGTCACTATGGAGCGCATGCCGACTCTTCTGGACGTCAAGTTCCAGCACCCTCGTGGAATGGGCACACGTTGCGAATCTCCATGAGGAATCGAAGCAGCGACCACTCCAACTGGCAACAATTTTGTCTTTTGCATGGGGAACCAGGTGGGACACACTGAGGGCGGTGTACATTGCGCTGCCGCAGGCGGAGGCGACGCACGGCGTCAGAGCATGGTGTTGAGACGCCTCCCCGACGTCCCACTGCAAGCCGGATCCCGCACAGTACCAGGCGAGCAAAATAGTCACGCGAACCCCGAGAGGCAGTAAACTGGAGGATGCCGTGTTTGAGGCAAAGCTGCAGCCCCCTCCCCGATGCGAGACGCGTGGTGATGCTTTGCGTTTTATTGCCTCCATCGTCCGCCACCCGCAGCACCCCGCCAGAAAACTGCACGACTTCATCATGGCCCTGCGCCCTGCGCTTCGGACGAAAGCTCGCTGCCCGCGCCTCCCGCGACGGTGCCGCTGCGGATGGCCCCGACCAAGCCGGTCTTCACGCTTATAACCGCTTCCGGCTCGAAGGCCCGTCGCCACACCCAGAAGAAAACGCCGCGAAGGATGGGCAGATGGCTTCGCGGAACTCGGCGTCAAAATTGGAGCAGCGGCGATGCTCTACCTAAATGGAACGCCGCTCAACGTTGCCAGGGCCGGCACAGAACAGATACCATGCAGCCACGGAGCCGAATGCATCGCCCCACACCTTGGTACAAGAAAGCCATTGAGCAGCATCCCGCAGACAAGCGCTGCGCCGTGTAGGGCGCCAATCTTCACAGGCTCACTCTCTCTCCTCACCGCCCTGCAAAAACAGGTCCTCTCACGGCTTCTGACCCGACACTTCGTCGACTCTGGCCGCTCCTTCTCCGCCCGCCGTACCGAGTATTGCGCATGCAAATGCTGTTCGCCTTCGGCCACCACAGCGTGTCCAGAAACGGACCTTGTGATGCGGAAGCCCAGAAGGCATTCGACCAAACACAGCTCACAGACAGATGGATCACCGGCATCGTTGCATTGGTCAAACATATTATTCACGCCCGACAGCTCAAGGCCGAAACACACCGCTCCACCGCAGCAAGCAACTGGAAAACCATGCGCACGGACTCCACCGTCACTCGTGGGGAAGAGGCCGCACTGGCCCGCCTCCGCACCGGGGTTCCGCAAAAACACGGATGGCTGCTACGGCCACTGCGACCCGCCATCCCGAGCAAATGCCGTTGCTGCGGCCCGGATGCCCAACAGCGGCACTCAAAAAGCCTCGCACGGAAACTCCTTTTCCTCCCGCTGGCCCCCACACCGCCACGATCCGACGCCCCGGCATACCGCCCGGTGTGTGGCAAGCACCGCAGCTGCTGCACTGGTGTTGTGACGCGCATGATATTAACGCCCATAGCATTACGCGCTCCCAGGTGCCGTGGAAAGCCAAGTTCTCCGGTGAGCCGGCACCGCCAGAATCCCGTCGGAACCGCTACCCGCCACTTGCGCGAGGACGAGAGCGAGAGACGACACACCCTCGACAGTACACGCGTCTTAATCCTGTGCGGCCGCTGTTTTTTCGCAGCGCTTGTGGTATGGCAATATTCCGCTTAGCTATGATCCCGGTACGCCTGATTTTGGCCATCTGATATAAAGCAAAAAAAGAAAAAACGAAAGTAATTCACCGTTGAGTCGCGAAGTTTTGGCCACCAAATCTCAAACTCAAATCGAGCAAAACCCCCATTCACGTGCACACGAACACCCCAGAACAAAGCCACTGCAAGAACCAGAAAACACAGCACATCAACGCCCTTACCGTGAAGGGCAAGCGGTGAATGCCGCCGAGGAACCGCGCAGCTTGTGCCTAAAATGGCACGCGCGCGTGCATTCATCAACCCTACAATGTCGCCGATTCCGTGACGGCAGGGCGTCGGGCTGCTGAGAAACCGCAGATTGCCCGGCGACAAAGCCCCGATGGGATCACCACCAGTCGAATTTCGCCGTCCAGCATGCGGCCCTCGGCGATTCAGCGATGACGAAAAGACCCGCCACCGCACGGCATTCCACGGGCATCAAGTGGACATCGCGAAGACCAGCCAGCCTGAACTGCGCGAGGGGACGATTCTGAAACTGCTCCGCTGCCCGGCTCTGCAGGCGCCTAAACCAAAACTCGGTTCGCACACTGGAGAAGTGAGGGGCCGCGCTTCACAAAAATCTTGGCGCGGTTTCGCCTCGGAGTGGGAGGGCTTTGCTCCAACAACACCTTCGCGCAGCGAGGAGGCACGACGCTCCTCACTCCATTTCCTCGGCCATGGGCCACATGGTTTGCTGGCTTGCCGGTTTCTGGTTTGTAGCTGGCCCGGGCGGGTGAGTGGCGCCTGTGTGTGTGTGTGTGTTTCGCGCCCTACGGTGCGGCGCCCTCCCCGGGCCCTCTTCCACATCTCCGCTCGGCAGGGCGGCGTGCGGGCCTTCGGTTTATTTAATAACGGGAAAAAAATTGCCTCTTCCTCCTTGGAGCCCGTCACCTCTCCATACGCTTCGTCGGTGCTGACATGAATGAATTCTTCCATCCCGCCACGCGTCCGGGCGAGATCAAGAAGAAACCGCGTCCCAAGAACGTCGCCATGCGTGAGGAAGAGGCTATCATCAAGGCCGCTTTCAGCGTGGCCCTGCGCCGAAAATTTAATGATGGCGGCAATTTCGTGATGACGCGGCGCGCGCGTCGCCAGATACGCGTTGGTGGCGTTCCCAAAAAAGGAGCGGTAGTAGGGGTCTTCGGAGCCCCCAATCAACCTGAAGTTACCGCAGCGGTCCACCTTGTCAGGGTTGCGCGCGTGCACCCCAGAAGACGTTCGGCCAGGGTGATTGGTGTGGTTGCTCCCAACAAACCCCAGGACCTCCGTCACGAGAAGACTACGCAGCGGCCTGGCGTCCGTCAGCCGCGTCCTCCGACGTTCGACATCCTCTGGCCAACGAAACATGCATGTGGGGCCACGGCGACCCCCTCCTTTCCCCAGAACCGACCGATCCGCTCGGCAGTTCGCCTCCCGTTGGGCAACGCGCGCAATCATGGCGGCCTTCTTGTTTTTTATGCACGGTTCACCCAAAGCACGCGAGGACAGCAAGGAAAAAAGGCGAAGGAAGCATACAACGCCAAGACACACACACAAGCAGGCACACATGGAGCACACAGTTGAACGCCCAACCCAAAAATTTAGTAGTAACAAAAGAATTCGCAAACAAGTCGCTGCCCGCTCTTCCCCGTCCAACACCCAACACCCCGGCGGCAAGACGCGAGGCGCTGTCCACAGCGCTTCATTTCACACTCTCGTGCCGACCGCCCGACGACGACCGCTTCCATCAGCAAAGTGCAGCAGGAGCGGAACGTCGTGTAAAAATAAATTCGAGGACAAAACAATGAAAAAGAGAATCCATCACCATACGCCCCACGAGACCGCACAGCAGCGATGACGGCGCACAAAGGAAACACGCAGAAAATCTCTCAGAAATGCCGCCACAGAAAAAAAAACCGTGGCGATGCCCCGAACAGCGCCCCCAATGCAATCGCCCCCTTCCCAGCACACCGCGGGGCTCGCAAAAGTGAAACGCCACGGGGAGTCTCAGCGAGAAGCGTGTGACCGTTTCACGCACACCACACGCACGGCACGTGGATCTGCAGACAACGTCCCCGCCTGGTGCCGATATACCTTCCTGTGCCGAAATCCCGCGTCGGCCTCCTCCCTCCCCAACGGTATCCCCCACACGGGCGCCCGAAAACACCACACCGCCGCCAGCCGCTTACCGGCGTGCTGTCCGTGTGTTGCGCACAAATAATCTCACGACACGTCGTGGGCAAAATACTCACAACCGTTAAAATATGCCGCCAAATGCTCGTTGGGCTGCCTCATCGTGCCGGCTGTGGCGCGGGGCGCTTTGGCTCCCGTCGCCCTGGCGGAGAAGTCAGCCCCTTGAGCTTAGGGTGGATTCACTCCACAGCGCCCCCATTCGTGGGTGCGACCGCGCCAAACGCATCCAGCGACCTCCACAAAATGCATTCCTCGCCATGCATTAAGAGATTCAGGAAATCGGCCGGCGGTGTCATCGTTACCAAACAAATCAATATTTTGCGCCCGCTCGCAGTGGGGACCGCAGTGTTGAGGAATATCCCGTTCCCTTTATGCTCCGTCACCCAAATGATCTTCAGAGGTTTGTGCGACGGACTATCACTGTACCGCATTTCCCCACTTTTCACGCCAGCGTGTTCATGAGCATTTGATGAGGCAACCCATTCCACGGCTCCCTCGCAGCGGAAAGGCGTGCATTAGTATCTCTCTCACTGAACAGGTCACGGAGGATGGATCCCATCCCATCCATGTAGCCTCTTACCTCCTGCCAGTATTCCACCTGCGCCTCAGCTGACTGATTGCGCTTCTTCCACACGCACATTGCCTTCACATCGCTCTCCTGTGGGCAATTCATTATGATCCGCCTGCCCCTCAACTGCTTCTTACATCTTCTGCGGGCACTCTCTTCTGGTGGCGTCACCACAATCATGCACCATCCCCTGGGAAGCAAACGAACAGACGGTTCATGAATAGGCTCGGCCACGTTGTGGATGATATACCCCCTCATCCCACGTCCAGACAGTTCCCCCATAACCTTCAAAAACGTGTTTTCACCAACGCAATGTAGCGCCGTTTTGGTGATCTTGTCAAACAGGAATGTTTGTTCCGCAACACTGTACGCAACCACAGGGAGTTTCTCCGCATCGTAGTGCAGCAGCTGGTAGAGGAGGTACGAACCGGCAGCCATCGACTTCCCGATCCCGGGCATCCCAATCAACACACGCTGCCCAGGCGTAAAGTCGGTCTCACCGTGACTGCTGAACCATTCGGTCAGATCGCCCTTGACGGTCTGCCACACTCGCTCCACCTCACAGTTCACATAGCAGTCAAGAATGGACGGCCCCAACGGCCACGAGTACGGCCATGCCTTGTCCGAGGTGAGCACCATCAGCCTCAGACGTGGTGCACCGGATTGCTCCACGCTGTCATCCTTTTCAAGAGTTCGGCCAACCGCCTTGTACGTCCATGACTGCGGTGGTTTGCCCTCCCTCACTTCCATTCCCATCCCCTCGCCGTCAGGAAATTCCACCACGTGATGCCACCTCGCATTGTACAAAGAATCGTAAAATCCCTCCGACATCTGTATCTTTTCCTCTTTCAGCACCCCTCTAAGTGCCGCATCGAGTTCTCTCCTTGCAAGAGGACTGACCATATCCTTCCGTTCAAAGTCCCTCCACTGTTTGAGAGAGCGCACACCCATTTGAGAAACATTGTACGTATCCCGTCGAAGTCCGCGCATCTCTTGCAGCACTTGATACTCTGTCAAATTAAAAATTTCTTCAAGCAACTTCTGATCCTGTACGTAAGTCTTGGGCTCCACTAAAAATACTTCCATCGTCACATTGTATCTTTCATCGACAACTGCGCTGGGGCCGATATGCCTCCGAAGAAAATCATTCAGCTTCATGTAATTGCCGCGGGCCTCTCCCCCCAGCAGTACATCTTCCACCCAACTGAAAAGGCCCCACTGTGGTCGCCGCGTTTCCTCCACTCTTCTGCGAGGCACAGCGGGTTGGCCACTGTCGCCGTCAGACTCCGCCCTCGCTCGCGCCCGACGTCCCTGCGGCACCGTAGACGCGGAACTCGTCTCATTATCGTCATTTCCTTCCCCGTGACGCTCGGACATTCTTTCCGCTGTCTTCGTAGTCGGTTTCAATTGGAGCTGTGACCCAGCAGACAATCAAAAGAAGGACGAGAGAAGAGAACAATAGGCACAGAAATGACCGACAAGCACAAAAAAAAGCGTCATCCACGCGGTGCGGGGCACAGCGTGCAACGCACACCACATGCAAGAGGGAATGATCTTATCGCTCCTGACACACACACACACACACAGCGTCTCCCTGAAGCATTCGGCCTCACCTCCTCCTCCTTGCATATCCTCCCTCGCACTGCCGATATGCACACGGAAGTCAGGTGGAAGGGGGAATGAAAAAGAAGGGAAAAAAAAAAAAGGACAACTGACACACAAAAATAAAAAATAAATAAATAAATAAAGGCAGGCAGAGCCGGACGGCCACAGAAAACAGAGCATGACTGCACAATCAAACACACAGTCCCCTCCCTCTTCTTCACTGCCTTTTCACGTCTCTCTCACAGACGTGACGGCAAGAGCTCCAGCTCACCAATACATGGTGCGTGGGCGTCGGGAATATCCCACCGCAGGTTTTCCCAAAAGTCCTGCGCAAATGCCTCCAGGTACCACACGCCACCGTCTTCTTTATATCCCTCCTCGAACCTCACCTCCTGTCTCCAGTCCAACTCCTGCAGCTTCTCTAAGCTAATGTCATAAAGCCTTTTGCTAAATTCACGGTCCTTCACAAATACAAGATGCCTTGAGACCTCCTCTTCGCTGGGGTCCGCCAGGGGCTCCCTCTTTCCATTCATGTGCGCTCGCACATATTTAACAACGGTCATACGGGCAATATCCAGCACACTCTTCTCGTCACGAGATCCAATGTTGTACACATCGCCAATAAACCCATGGTTAATAATTGCAACATACCCGCGCCACATCAATTGCATGTGTATATTTGTGCTTATTGCTGCCATTGCTTTGAATAGTCATTTTATTCCCAGCGTTCATAAGCATAATAAACTGAGGTCTAAACTTCTTTCGGTGCTGGTATGGTCCATACATATTATTTCCGTGGTCAATGATGCAAGGCAGTCCAAACGATATATGGCACGACTTCACTATGTACTCCAATGCCACCTTTGTTGCCGCATATGGGTTGCTTGGGTTTCATGCCCTCTCTTATCTGATGATGCTGTGGGCCACATCACCTCGGTGTCATGGCCAATTGCGCCCAGTATTGCTGTGGGAAGCCAAGATCCAGCAATGTTTTTTTCTCAGTATGATTTTTGTTAGCACAGGGCCGAAGGCATCGACCAGCCGCGTATGACGGAGGCACAGTCGTAACACCATGAGAACTGGAGGCAAGCGTTAAAATACCGACTGTGGGCCATCAAATTCATTCAAGAAAACACAATAATAAAAAAAAAAGAGCAAATTCCGCAGCGCATCCTTCTTCATTTCTATCAACAACAAAAAAAAAAAAAACAGAATCAACAGGGCACCCCAAGACTGACAAAACCCAAAAACACGCACACGCACACACACGCACAGCCAGCAACAGTGGATACTCAACTCGTATACTCATAGACCTACGTCATGGAAGTCAAGCCTCACCGTTAAAGTATCCCCCCTCCCTCTGAAAGCAATTCCTTTCCCTTTTTTTTTTTTCTTCTCGCTTGGACCACATAAAAATAGAAAAAAGGAGGCTGCAAATGATCCAGTAAGAATTATTACACCGGAGTATTCTGGTGACAAGTGACCCGGAAATATAATTTTTTCCATTTTTCTTGCTTTTTCCCTCATATTTTGATATAATTTTTTTTCGTTTTTTTGTTTTTCCACTCCTTTTGGTCCCTTTTATTTTGCCCCCGCTCTCCGTGTCCAATGCGTTTCCGCAGTTTCACGCCCTTTCATAAATTCTCTTTTTGTCTTTTTTTTTTTTTTTTTTTTTTTTGGTTTTTCTCTAAATGCTACTCTCTTTTTTTCCATGCCAATTATTGCCAAGCTCTTTTTCTTCCGTTTTCCATGCACCCTTTCGGTTCCCATCGCAGTGCATTTATCAAGACATCAAAAAGCGATGGTTTTTGCAATGTAAATCCACGGGGCGAGAATGATGTGACCCATCACTCCGTGTCTTTCGTTTCACTCAGTCGTGTTCAAAGTTGCCGTTCCACGTTCTTCCAGTTGACAACGTTCCAAAAGGTCTGCACGTATGCCGCACGGTCGTTCTTGTAGTCCACGTAGTACGCATGCTCCCATACATCGCATGTAAGGAGAGGCTTCAAGTTGGGCTCTGTCAGTGGACATCCCGCGTCATGCGTCTGGTAGACCTTCAGTTTGCCGGAATTGGTGTCCTTCACAAGCCACGCCCAACCCGAGCCAAAGTGGCCCACAGCCACGTTTGTAAACTCCTCCTTGAACTTCGCAAAACTGCCAAATGAAGCGTTGATCTCGTCGGCAAGTTTTCCCGTCGGCTCGCCACCGCCATTAGGACACATGC